ATTGTACGGATAATGAATGTCATCTGATGCACAAGCACATACATATATCACAGATGCGCACACAATGGATGCAGTCTAGAATTTATTTTGTGTCTTCGGAAAAACATTAACTGGAACCACATGTGAATATATTGTATGCCTTTGTTGCTCAACATCTACACACACGCACACAAACAAAATTAAACGACGAGAAAAAACTTACATATGTCTCTCCTTAACTAGACCCACATATGCATTAACTATGTCTCCCGTTGCAATGAGTCTGGAGGAGCTGGTACCAGCAAACAAGTCTTACATATACTCAATCTTAATTAGAACAGCACTCGTTGTCTCTACCCTGGTTGTCGGTCTCTGCATCCCCTTCTTTGGTAAGTCTCCCTTGAACTTTCTTTCTTTGCATTCCCCCCTTTATATTCATATCCCTCGCCTCACTTATGCCTCTCGGTAACCATTTGGTTGTCATATTGTGTTAGTTAAAAGTGTTACGAAAACTATTGCAGGTCTCGTGATGTCACTGATTGGATCTTTATTCACAATGCTTGTAGTAAGTTTTCGTTTAAACTTCTGTTCTTGTGGTAGTAACTTTGCACGTAATTGCAGGAAATATAATTCCAAATTTTCTTATATCCATTTACGAGTTAAGCAGCTACGCACTACGCTGACAAATATATTACTTGCAGACTTTGATACTTCCTTGTGCTTGTTATCTGAGCATCTTGAGGGGACGCATAACTCGATTTCAGGTACGTCTGTTTTACGGTAGCTTGTTAGCATTGGTTTTCAAGAATTGGCAGACTCGAACGCAAACGCATTATTAGATAGAAGAGAGCAATCTCAATGCTTTAATATAAACGTTATATACTTGGAGCTTTTCATGGTTTCTGATCTGCATTTTTCTGCTGTTTCCAGGGAACACTTTGTATTATAATTATAGCAGTAGGCGTCGTGTCGTCTGCCTTCGGGACGTTTTCGGCCATTTCGAAAATTGTTGAGAACTTGAGAAGCCCTGCATAGCTGAAGTATCTATAATCTCGTGGCGTTCATTCACAGTTTTGAGTTAGCTTTAAATTTGTATCCTGCGTTCCTTATCTTGTTTTCCAGTTTATATTGCTTGAAGTAATATTACACTTTGCTACACCAGTCAATAAGTTAGTATAATTATATATCCACAATTTGAGTAGTGTGCAATTGGTCTTGTTGCTCTTATTGCTCTGAAAAATAAGTGCTAAATAGAATAAATGCAAGACATGCTTGTAACTCGAGCAACTAAGAAGATTTGCTTATGCATTCAAACCTGCTTCACTCGTAAAGAAAAAATTATACTTTAATTAAGGATAGTCTAGGGACAAGGTTAAAGTGAGTTTGGCTTCTATGGTTGTGAACTATTATTCGTGATAATAATCAAAATTAAACATATTACTCATGTGTTCACTAATCATATGTCAATGAAAACACAAATTGGTCACACAATATTAGAAATTCAACTCATGATTTTCAAGGAATTTGACTATTCGTTGGTGGTGGAATTCTAATTCATTGAGAAACAACCCATGTCACGCCTCAATCTCGATATACGTCCAGACTCGACACATGACGTCACCAACTACCTGTATCTTTGACATACCCCGACACCAGGATATGCAAAACACAACTTGAGAACCAAATGCGTAATAAATTTTTGTATACTTTATAGTTGCATCTAACATCTTCATTAGACTGCCTACGTACCCTCAATAAGGATCAAGCCATTCGTAGTTCAATTTCACTATAACCCGACATATAACACAATATGTTCAAGCCAAAATGCATAACATTCCTCAATCAAACATTTTGAACTTGACGAGCATGAATTATTCGATTCAAACTACATAACAACCAGCATGACAATCAAGGTTTCTATTTCATCCATCATATACATCATTATGTTTCAACATAAAATCACTATTCATATCATGTAATATATCAAAGAATCAATAAAGCACAATAGTATCCTCTAGTCGCATTGATCACTGATCTAATCATTTTCATAACAATCATATTCAACATCTTTCCACAATCATCTCAAGTAACCCATTCCATGATATCAAGGAGGCACGGTATTAACATTTAATTATGTTAATCAGTCAATCAGATCACATCTCAATGCACAAAATTAATAAAGGACTTCTCTTTATAATTCCCTGCCTGGATTTCAAGTAATAACTTGATAATTCTAATTTATATTCACAAGATTTATTGTGGGTAATTCCCATTCACTCGAATCCAGGGTACAAGTCTAACTTATGGAAACGAGTAAGAGTAGGGATTCCGGACCATTCAACGGAATCCAAATCAGGATACGATTCCTGACCACTCAACGGAATCCAACCATATCGGGTTCCGGATCACTTAACAGAACCAAAATCATCAATCAATTTCTTGCATGTAAAATTAGTGACATCGATCACAATCTATAAACATCAAGTATAGAATCATGCTTTATGAAATCATAATTAAGTCACTGACAACTTCGAAGGAGTCACCCAAACATCCATCGACTTTTCTAATTCCAAGCACAAGATTCTCAAAATCCATCGTTCATATGTACATTAAAAACTAGGGCTAGAGGGACGCAGTTCGACCAAAGCCTATTTCTTTGAAGCTATCTCAATCCAAACTCAATGAAACCAGAGGTGGATACGACCCTAGACCATCACTCAACGGAATCGCAGAGTATGAGGGATTTCAGACCATCTCTCAACAGAATCTGAGTGGATACGATTCCGGACCATTACTCAACGGAATCACGGAATAGAAGGGATTCTGAACCATCTCTCAACGGAATCCGAGTGGATACGATTCCGGATCATCACTCAACGGAATCGCGGAAGGCCAACAACCATATATACAATGGCTCAAAGAAATGAGACAAGCACAAGTTACTTAATTTACAAAAGCTTAACCAAGGGAAATAAGGCACAAATACTAAATTTAGAAGGAATCAATGAAGCGGAAGATGAAACCATATCGAAGCAACAAATCCCCATCATCACGGGTTAACAGTCTACCACTAGTCATCACATTTCATCACAACATGCCAATCAAACCAATCAAACCAATCAAACCATATTTCAATATATACATGTCAAATCTCATTTCATAACCTTAAATCAATGGCAAAGCATTAAAAATAACAATTCAATAGAAAACATATTTATAAAACCAAGTCATATCCACATAGGATAACAATCACGAAAATAGGGTAATCACCAATATCACATATTTTAAGTCACTCATCTGAGGTCCACACTAACGCACTCTAGCATGGAATTCAAGGCATCAAGCTCTATCACCGCCAAAAACAAAGCACATGTCCACATTTAGATTTCTCTCGATAAATTCACATGCCCAAAACTCTCATAAATCTCCCACGACAACATTTAATGAGAATCAAACTGTCGATCAAAGGTATGGTCCATGATCTTACATCACTTGCTCCGTAAGATCCAACCACTAGATTTTCACTAGTAAGTTCCTAACGTCCAACAACTGATAACTATGGTGCTCACAAAATTATACAACGATCCAACAATCGGATTGTCATCAATCACACAAACAAGTGATGGTCCAATTTGATCACCACACCAAACAATTGAATTTCAGGAAACAAATCTAGACATAGGTTCATAGGGTCACTAGAAGGTATTTGGTACTTAGACAACACTCGTGAACAGTTCCACGCACCGCTACACGCGATGGTAGCCATGGTGAAGGGTTTGAAAACCCAAATTTTCAACCTTAACTACAAAGGCTCAAATTTACGTGGTAACTAGAGCTCAACAAGGGAAACATTATTCACAACTAGGCCAACAACAAATTCTAATCTGAAACCATCCAATTTCATTGGGGAAAACTGGGTTTCTAGGGTTCTACACATCCAACTCTAAAACGAATACGAAAACACAAACCAAGCATACCAACTTGAAAAGAGTAGATGAAGTTTCATACCTCACTTAAGGGAAATGATTACCGGAATTGCCGGAAAAATGACAAAACCGCCGGAAAACCCACAAGCCTTTGCTGTCTTGAACTGGAAAAATGGATAAGAAAATGGAAAAACTAACATTACAGAGTTGTAGGGCTCGTCAAGAGCTTTCCATGGACACCAAGATCACTCAAAACAGAGATCAGATAAAGAAGATATGAACGGGTCAAATTTGCAGGTTAACGGGTCTAATTCGCCCCAAAACGGGTTTTTTCTTCTTTTCTCTCACCACCTTCCCGTGGCTTTCTTTTCCTCCCCCCTTTTTAGCCACTCCCGTGGCATTTTCCTTCTTTTTTTTTTTTTTTTTTAGCAACAACTTCAAATGTCCATAACTATACCGTTATAATCCGGATTCGCAAACAATTTTCGCCTATGCGTTCGTGATCTCGATATCTATTCGACAATATAAATTGTGACCTCGAATGGTCTACGGATTTTAAATAATTAATTTTCCAAAAAATAATATAAAATCTCTATAATACCAATACGTAGATTATACTAATGAAATTCAAGAACGGGATTTTACAACCCATCATACAAATTGTACCTTCATATGATTTTGGGGGAATTTAGCTCTTTGTTTTTGATAAATTGTTTTTAGTTTCGATTCAGATAAATTAATAAACAACTTAAGAAATTGATGTCGTCCCAACTTTTATTTTAATTTTTTTTGTAAACAGATTCAATAGTATGAGTTGGAGCGCCTTAATTCAAATATTCTTCAATTAATTTACTTCTCACCTAATTCAAGCTAGTCAACATAAAAAAAAAAGAATTGCTATACATTATTGATACTTTCAAGTATCAAATATTTGTTGATTACACACAAATGTACTGTAGATTGATATTCGGTAGTTGCTAACAAACTAGTGGGCCCTGTTGTGTGTCTGGGCCTTGGATCTTGGCTTCCAATCGAACACCAAAAACCGTCAGACAGACAGACAAAATTGGCGGCTGTTCTTAAACTAACTGCTAGCCGACGTGGCAACCTTACGCGCTGAATACAAGTCACTTCAGCAAATCTCACCGTACCCCGCTCGAACGAACAGTCCAAGCCTCTGCAGTCCGTTGGATTTGGTCAGGCCATGCGGGCCCCACCAACCTTCCATCGACTAACGCCGTCAAACGCGCCGCCAATTCTCACTACCGCCTCCCCCTTCCCCTGCTACCCCTTCAAATCCTCGGTCAAGTCTCAACGGTCCTTAAAATTCCCAAGTCAACAGATTCATTCTCTCTCTTTCTGTTCAGCATGTCCGTAGTACCGACGACGCGCCCTACTCTCCGGCTCCCGAGAGCCAGTGCCTCACGTGACCGGCCAACAGCTTCGCCCAAAGTTTCAATTTTGGGCTTCAGGCTCAGAGCGCCAAGCTCTTCAAATCCCCCGGTATTCTCCCGTAAATTTGATGAAATCCGGGGGCGGATTACTGTGCTGAGTGCTTTGAGCCAGGAAGGGTCGCTGCAGGAGGTGGATGATTCACCGGTCACGGTGGCGCTCGCGCCCATTTCCAGCGAGACCCAGTTCGATCGGGTGGTTGCCCAGGCCCAGCAGCTCGACGAATCGTTTGTTGTCGTTTGGTAAGTTTCTGGGTTTTCGATTTTGGTGTTTGGATTGATGAAATTTTGGATATTTGTATGGTGGGTTTTTCAATGGGGTGTATTTGGTTGCTGAGAAAATTTAGGGAGAGAAAAGAAAGTGGGGGCTTTGGCTTGCATTGCCATGCTGAAGTGAAAGGAAATGCATAAAACTTTATTGGGAAGTTTGGGACTTGTAATGTGTGCTTAAGTTCATACGAAAACCATTTCGTTTTTAGGTTTCAGCTTTCATTTGATGGTGGTATCTAGTAAATGAAAAACAACGAAATGATTACTAAATATGGACCTGCTTAAAAATGTTGTGATTTGGCATATAGGAATTGGTAGGTTTTCCTTGTTTTCGACACAAAAATCGGAACTTGCATTGAAATGGGTTCTGAGGTGGGAGTGGATATTCTTGTAGGGTGGCAACCTGGTGCAGAAAATGTATATATTTGAAGCCAAAATTGGAGAAGCTGGCAGCTGAGTACTATCCAAGGTTAGTAACGCACTTATTAGCCATCTCTGTCGATTATTATAAAACAATCTCACATTGGAACTTCTTAACATTGATATTTCCTTCTCTTTATTTCAATTTTTGAGTTTCATCTATGAACGCAATGAAGGTATTTCATCGGACTAAATCTCTTTTCTTTTAGTTTGTCAATTGTCAAAACACTGTTGATTGATGTGCTTATTATCGGAGAGCTTGCAATAAAGCTTGAAACTCTACTAAGATGCTTTCCCTGGTGAAATCTGTGCCTTCTTGTTTCTAGAACCATCATTCTAGGTACTCAATTTAAGACAGTATTACAGTGGGATTTCCATTTACAATCTGCAAAAGCGGCTTTAACATTGGGTACAAGTAGAAATTTTCATTTAATTACAGAAATAAAAATTGCATCAGCTCTCTCCTATATACTTCTCTCTAGTGAACTCCCAAATCTCATCTGTGTATTTATATGCAGATAATCAAAAAGATATTTCAAAGCACAGTGAGATTTGGCAGGCATTCATGTTAATAATAAATACATTCATATGTACATGCATATATGAGATTCCTATGTACTTAGAAAAATCAATTGTATGTTACCATTCTCGCTGGCTTACAACTCCGCAATGCAGAATAAATTCTGAATCTGAGTTTATTTTCTGTAGATTGAAGTTCTATTCTGTTGATGTCAATTCAGTTCCACACAAACTCGTTAAACGTGCTGATGTCACTGTAAGTTTTTCATCCCACTTAGAAAAGTATGTCAACGTGACTTGTATTGGTGTAGGAGTAGGTCATGTAAGTTTGGGCTGAATACTTTTTCATCAATTGTCTAGTGTATGGCTTCACAGAATTGACTAACATTCAAAAATCCAAAATCTACTCTGGCTTGCACAAGGCTTTTTTGTCATTAGTTACGAAAGTCTTTGCAATGGATCAGTGAAGTGATCTATATTCTTCAAATTATGTAGGTTTTGAGTCGTTTTGTCGTCGTGGACATCATTTGAATGAGTTAATGTTGTTTCACTTACGAGTATGACTGAGACAGAGGGGGATGGAGGTTGGGAGGGAGCAGGAGGGGTGATGTGCAAAGCTATATGCGTTTTGAACTTTGTTAGCAAACTCAATGCTATCTGTGTAATCTTTTCAAGACTAACTCTATACTACAAACCGTGCATCGTGTGCTCACAATTTAAAACCATCCTCTTCCTTTTTATGCACCAGAACATGATGAGCTTCCAATTTTTTTTCTGTGATCATACAACCATAGATATGTTAATCCTACTATTGTTTCCTTGCTTCGACATATATATGTGTGCAGAATGTTGACTGACATTTTGGTTTTCTTTGTGCTTTTTTACATGGTGTGCTTTCATCTCTTGCAGAAGATGCCAACTATACAGGTAAGCTCGTACATCGGTGAGACATCTTTGAGGAACTTTGGGTGTTCCTTCTTCCCGTTTTCTATTTATTCACCGTACTAATGAGGATGATTATGTTACAGTTGTGGAAAGACGGCAAGAAGCAAGCTGAGGTTATCGGTGGTCACAAAGCACATTTAGTCATTAATGAAGTTCGGGAAATGATTGAAAACGAGGATAGCACGTAAGGTTCAGTACAATGGAGAAATTTTTCGTACTTTTTTTCCATGACTTATTTTATACATAAGGTTCAGTAGAAGCCTACAAGGGACATGAATATCCATTCTGTAATTTTTTTTCACAAATATAAATAATACCAGTTTTAGGGAAGAGAATAAATAGAAAATTTGTTCATTTGTTTTTCTTAAGTCCTTGCTTCCTGCAGGCATATATGATTTTGCAATTAGAGCTGTTCCTGGCTTAGCCAAAGATAAAAATGCTGCATAATCATGAGGTTCTACCCCTGTTATGTGTTGAAACCCAGTTTTTGCTTGTATCAGCAGCGTGATAACGCTCGTGTTTCATCCAAGTCCATGAGATTTGTCTACGTTTTTCTTTTCAGCATGTATTTTTCATCACGTTGCGTGTTAGAGGACTGGTATTTTGAAAAACAGATGACCTGCAGACTGGCTAGATTAGTTTCATGCTTGAAAAACTAGTATGGTTCTTGTTTTACAAGTTTAGAACATAAAACATGCAGTCGAGAACTGGAGAGTAGAACGCCATACTTTTTTTCTTTGATTTCGGAATGCACGTAGTTTGAGTCTTGATGTTAATCAGTTATGGCTTGTTTTGAACGATATTATCTACATTATGGGGGTGTGCTCAGCATCACAATGGGCTAGCAATAATATGGTTTAAATTCATCTTTGGCGAGAATCGAACTTAAGATCTTTCGTTTACAAATGAAAAGAAATTATCATTAGAACATAATATTAAATGTAGTTTTTTTCTTTTTTGGTGCATAATCAGAATGAATAAAATTGTAAAAGCCTCATCATGATAGTGCCTTTAGCGAAGTTTAGATCCACCGTGCTGGATTATAGAAATCATATTCAAAGCTGATTTGAAATTGTGGTGCTTTAAAAAAAACAACTTATTATAAAATTTGAAACATCAAATGTGTACCAAAAAAAAAAAGTACTTTTTTAAAAAACTTATTGTCAATGATGGTAGAAAAGTAGAAGCATATCTACCGTGCTCTTGAAAAAAGTGTTTTTTTTTCTTCAAAACATAGTAATCAATGAAATTTTCAAAAGGCAAGTATACCCCATATATTTTACAATCTTTGCCCCTATATTATTATCTTTTACAATTATTATATCATATTAAATACTATATTTTTTTCGTCATTTAACATATTCACAACAATTTATATAGAAGTTTACCAAGTACTCATACATTGGTTTTTTTTTTTTTGTTGAAGCACTTTTACAAAAAAAAAAATTATCTAACACTCAACAACTTTATTTTACAATTGTCTCACAACAGAGACAGTTTTTATTAAAAACGCACCAATACGAAACTAACCCTAAAATTTGTTACAACTCTTCCATGCACATATCATTCCTCTCGTGAGACGGTCCACCATCTCCTCTCTTCCCGCCTCGCCCCCACCAAAACTCCCGTCTCTCTCTCTCTCCAGTCTCTTTCTCTCTCTAAAATTAAAAGCGGCCGTTTCGAAAGGATATCAGGCCCACGCGATCTCATCCCAAACCTCAGCTTCCCTCTCTCCCCCCTCTCTCTGTAAACTTCTCTCTAACCCTTGGAATTGTTCCGAAATTCTTTCCTAGATTTTTGATCAAGAAAAGCTTCAGCTTCTCGTACATTCAATCGTATATACGAATATACACAAATATATATATATATATTATATATACACATTATATTCTTTCTGTACATATAGCAATTGGATTGTTGGTGGAGCTTTCTCAGCGATCAATTCCGCGACGTAAGTCCTCGTTACGACGCCGTTTGACCATTTCCTCTGTTTCATCAGTACCAATTTCGTTACAATTTATGAAATTAACAACAAAGTTAAAAACTTTCGATGTTTTGATGCTGTTTTGCTGGTGTGATCACTGATCATATAATTGAGTTGGCTGATTTTGATGCGATTTCCATGATTTTCGCAGTCGCCCGAGGAATTGTTCGGGATTTGATTGTATTGATCGATGTGAGGATTTCTGCTCACGCTTCAAGGTACAAACGAATATGGTTCTTTTTTCGAGAATTTTATGCTTTGAATTCTATAGTTACGTTGATCATTTGGGCACTTGTAGCACAAAAAAGTCAGCCAATTGTTACCTTTCTTAATGATTACGATTTATCGAATGCGAAAACTAGCTGAATTTGAAGAATTTCTGTTTTGTTTTTGTTGTTGTTTGTGAAAATTTAGAGTTGTGGAGATGGCTACGGGGAGTAACATAGATATGCTATCAACCCTAGATAATAATCTGCAAGGATCCAATGGGAATTTAGAAGATGCTTTACAGAGTGAGCTTGAATTGATTCTGAGAGAGCAGCGCAATCAGCATGCCATTCATCGGGAGAGGGACATGAATATGTATAGGAGCGGCAGTGCCCCGCCAACTGTTGAGGGTTCGCTAACTGCTGTGGGTAGTCTCTTTAGGAACTCAGATTTTAGGGATGTGACTAGTAGGATTAGTAATAACAATGGGGTTTTGTCCGAAGATGAGATTCGATCTCATCCTGCTTATCTTTCGTACTACTATTCGCATGATAATATTAACCCAAGATTGCCTCCACCGTCGTTGTCGAGAGAGGATTGGCGTGTTGCACAAAGGTTTCAGGGGGGCGGGTCTTCTTTTGAAGGCATTGGGGACTGGAGGAGGAAGAAGTTGGCTGATGATGGTGATAGTTTGTCGCTGTTTTCCACACAGTTGGGACTACAAAAGGCAGAGGATGAGTTGATGGGATTGAGGAATGCTAAAGGTTGCAATCTCCCTAAACAGACATCATCTGAGTGGCTTGATAGAAGCTCAGATGGTTTGATTGGTTTGTCGACAACTGGGTTTGGTGGAAGGAGAAAGAGTTTTGCTGACATTTTACAGGTAATCTATCTTCGTTCTGCATTTTTTTGGATTCCCTTTGTCTTGGCATTTGATTCTTTCACAAATTTTGTATGCTTGAGTATTTTGATGCTACCTGCCCCCTTTTGGTTAGTATTTTCAGTTACATGGCTGTTTGAAGCTTGCATTACAGATAGCTTTTAGTTTACGTTTGATATTTATTGCATACTACACGAGATCGCACATTTTCCATAAGGCCGGGTACACCCTTCACACGGGGATGCAGAGCAAGGATGTAGCCAAGAGCATGATCCTGCTCTTAGAATTACTGTTGCAACTATCTGTCGTGGCTTCTATTGGAACCTTTCAATCTTGCTAGCCGTTGTATTATATGCACGTGACATGTTGAATGCATCACGCTGTACTTTATTTATCACCATCTAAGTTCTCATTTCCATTTTCATGAAGGTTTTTTTCCTCTTCCTTTCCAAATATTCAGAAAGGTGCAGATGTTTATTAGTTCTTTCTTCCATATTTAATGCAGAAAGTTTTCATTATTCATATTCTTTAAATTGATATGCTTATACATGCACTTCACCGAGTAAATTCAAGCAATTTGGTTTGGGATGAAGTGCTTAGCTGCTATTTCTTGTTTCTTATTTTGGTGTCCTGTAAATTAATAACTGACGTTCTGCAGGAAGGACTTGATCAAACTGCGTCCTTGTCAGGTCCCCTGTCAAGGCCATCAAGTCATAACACTTTTGGTGATATCATGGATCCCACAGGCATGACTGATCCCCATCCAGTTGGGTTATGTAATGGAGTGGAGTCTGCAGAGGGTATGCATAATGGAGCAGCTTCACATGGCCTGGTGGGAGTTCGGAGCCATGGCCCAATGGCTTCTCATTCCTTTGCATCTGCTGTGGGTCCTTCTTTGCCAAGAAGCAGAACCCCTGAACAACTATTTGGCAGGTCCACCAGTTCTGGTCTCCTCCCTGTAGGGAGTAGAGTATTCCCTACCGAGAGGAAGAATGTTGCTAGTCCAGATATTAAAAATGATCGTTCTTCCAGCATGAATGATCTGGCGGATATTTCAGCCAATTTTTCTAGCTTAAGCCTATCAAAAATTAGACCTGTAGATGATGATAGATATATTCAGTCGCAGCTTCATGTGGATCTTGAAAATCAGCATGATTTTCTGTTTAAGATGCCAAATGGGCATCAGAGGCTGCAGCAGGAACTGTTAGAGAAGGCAAATGCTGAAATTTTTTCTCTTCCTACTAATCATGCTCATCTAGCAAAGAAAAATGGAATCATAACAAACCGTACTACATCCTCTGGGCAAGCTAATTTTTCAAGAAGAACTTCTTCTCCCAGTCTGTACTCAAAAGGGAGTTCTTCAGGCTTTGGAGCTTTGGAAGGATCTAGTGTTCATTACCAAGAAGCAAATCCACCAGGTATGGACTTTGATGGGCATGTTGCCGGGGCCTATCCTGTAAATCTGAAGTTGAATATGTCAAGTGATAATCATCTTGGTGCAGGTAATTATGTAGTTTCTTAAATTTCATCTGCAATAACTTTTTTATTTTTAAAATCAGCGGAGTACCTTGGTTGAATAGTCAGTCAGCACTTAGCATTGACAATGTTTCTCTCTCTCTCTCTCTCTCTCTCTCTCTCTCTCTCTCTCTCTCTCTCCCTCCCTCCCTTTTCTTTTCTGGGTGCAGTAGCTATTGGTGATGAACAAAGTCTGAACAGACTGGGAAACAAAGTAGGGCCTGGTCTTCATTCTTCTGTTATGGACCCATCTTATATTCAGTTTTTGCAAAGAACTGATTATGCAGCACGTAATGTAACTAATCCAAGTGGTTATCCTCTGAGCAAAAACCACTTTGGCACTTTGCATGGAGACTTAGAGGGGCTTCAGAAGGCATATCTTGAGGCATTGCTTGCTCAAAGGAAGCAACAGTATGATTTGTCAATTTTAGGTAAATCTGGCGGTTTTAATCATGGTTATTATGGGAACCCACCATATGGGCTTGGCATGTATCCAGGAAATCCGATGGCAAATTCGCTTCATCCTTCTATTGGGTATGGTAGTCCAATGTTTGAGAGTGAGAAGATTGCCCGCTTTAATTCTATGTTGAGAAGTTCAATGGGAGGGTCGGTTAGCTCCTGGAACTCAGATATTGGAAACAACCTAGAAGGACGACATGTATCATCATTATTAGATGAATTCAAGAACAATAAGAACAAGTCTTTTGAATTTGCGGACATTGTTGATCACGTAATTGAATTCAGGTATATATAGTGTTTTCTTTGGTGTATATTCTTCTTAGGTTGCTTTGGCTGCAATTTTGACTTCAATTTCTTCTGAGCAAAATTGTAGTACCGACCAGTATGGAAGTCGCTTTATTCAGCAGAAACTAGAAACAGCCACTGTGGAAGAAAAAATGAAGATATTTCCAGAGATTATTCCTCATGCTCGCGCCTTGATGACTGATGTATTCGGAAATTATGTCGTACAGAAAGTATAATCTCTGTATTTCAAATGCTTGAAAATTCTTTCCTTTCTGTATAAAGTTATTAATTTAGTTCTGCGTGAAATTGCAGTTTTTTGAGCATGGTACAGAAAGCCAAAGAAAAGAGTTAACCAGCCAACTTACTGGCCATGTTTTGCCTCTCAGTCTTCAAATGTATGGTTGTAGAGTGATCCAGAAGGTGATTTCCTGATCCTCAAAGTCTTGATCTACCAATGCCCTTCTATGT